CCCCAACTCAAAAAAAAAAAAAAAAAAAGAAGAAGTTCAGCTGGGCTCAGTGGCTCAGGCTGTAATCCCGTGCTTTGGGAGGCTGAGGTGAGTGGATTGCCTGAGCCAGCGTGTTCCAGACCTACCTGGCCAACTTGGCAAAACCTTATCTCTACAATAAATCAAAAAATTAGACAGGCGTGGTAGCGCACGCCCGTAGTTCCAGCTACTTGGAAGACTGAGGCAGAAGGATCGCTGGAGACCAGCAGGTCGAGGCTGCAGTGGCCAGGAGTGACCATTGCACTCCAGAATGGGCAACAGAGTGAGACTCCAACTCAAAATAAATAAATAAATAAACAGAAAAAGAAGAAGTTCTGTGCAGATGGCACAATGGCCTTCATTCTAACCTGACAATGTGCCCAGGTGGAAATGGTTAACCTCCAGTCACATCAGACTTCTTCAGTGGCAGGCTACCTTTACCTACCCAAAGAGACCTCACAGTTGTGCAGGGATCAGCTTGGCTTAGGTTAGATCATAACAGATGACCCTATTGTGAGTAAACATGACTACTCAGGACATTCCAGAATAAAGACCAAGTTTGAGACCCTTAGTGATCTCAGTTCTTCCCTGGTTCTCCCCAGAAAGATGCAAGTGCCTATGCCCTTTGCAGTCAGAAACAAAGAGCGACAGAAGCAAGGGAGATCGGAGTGTCCCTGGAGTTGGGTCCCCATCTCCCTCCCCCCATGCTTCCACTCGGACCCTGAGCCAGACAGGAGCCTGGAGACCTGGCGAGAGAGGATATGGATCCGTCAGTTAATCTCACCAGAGGAACCAGGCTCATTGGAAGGGGAGAGAATTGGGGGCCAGGATCAGAGGAGGCCACTGATTGGGGCCAGAGGGGTGCAAGGCTGATAAGATCCAGCCTCCAGCCAGGAGCCAGATGGCCTGCATGCCCCCAGCAGGGCAGCCCAGGAAAGCAGAGCTGATCTGTCCCACCCAGCATCATCCCACACAGAAGACAAAGAGTTGGTAGATAGGACCAGCAGCTGAGGCGGGCCTTCTGTGTCCCAGGCTCATAGGTTTCTGTGTGTGAGACATCCCCAAGACTAAGACAGACACCTGCTTATCAGCTCTGCACCCCTCAGCTTGGCCCCTGGTAAATGTCTTTTGAATCACAGCAGCAGAAATGTGCTCAGAAGGGTGATGAAGTCTTGGGTCTTCACCCCAGGGCTGCTCCATTGCACTAACAAGAGCACCTTTTGGCTGACTCGATCCAGAACCATCTACTCTGAGCCATCTGGCAAGCCAGTGTCTGCTGGCCCATCCTGAAGAGGTCTGAGCAGGTTTCCTGGGGGACTTCTCTCTCTCCTGGGTAATTTATCCTGGGTCTTGTGATGGAGACTGAGATGAACAGCCCCTGGCAGCAAGTACCCCAGGCCTGCCCCAGCGGGCTTTGAGGACAGTCCAGACAGCCGGGAGACCTCTGGAGTCACTGTTCCATAGCCTTCACTTGCCCTCAGGTCTGTGCCTGGCCTAGAAAGCAGAGACCAGCTTGGCTCCTTGTCCATGGATGTGTGTGGCTGTGTGCATTTTCTGAGTGCAAGTGTTGTGTATGCCATGAGGCTGAGCATGAAGTTTGCGCATACTTGTGAGCTGACTGATCTTGTGTGTCCATGGAGTATAAGTGTGCGTTAGAAAAGTACACTGTGCCAGGCACAGTGGCTCATGCCTGTAATCCCAGCACTTTGGGAGGTGGAGGTGGGAGGACTGCCTGAGCCCAGGGGTTCGAGACCAGTCTAGACAACTTGGCAAGACCTCGTCTCTACAATAAACCAAACAATTAACCAGGCGTGGTGGTGCACACCTGTAGTTCCAGCTACATGGAAGGATGAGGTGGAAGGGTGGCCTGAGCCCAGAAGGTCGAGGTTGTGGTGGCCATGAGTG